ACTGGAAAAGAGGGGGAAAGGATAAATAGACCTAGAAGCGACAAAATCTCTACAAGAAGACCAGCAGAGCCAACCAACCAGGGCCCAGAGGGTTCTATGGAGTCTGAAGCACCAACCAAGGACAATGCATGCACCTAGGTCCTCTACTTAGAAGTAGCCGATGGGCAGCTTAGGCTTCATGTGGACCCCCTAGTTAGGGATATTGATACATGGACTAAGTTGCCTGCTTTTTGATCACTTCCTTGATGGGACTGCCCTACCAGGACACAGGGAGGAAGATAAAATCAGTCTTCATGTGTGATCTGGGGTGTCTGGGTAGGGGGGCTCCCCTATTCTAAGGATGTGGGAGGGAGGGGGGACTTGGAGGAGAGGATGGAGGGGTCTATGACTGATATGTAAATTGAATTAATTAGTAAAAAAATACAAATTTAAAAGTGACTTGAAAGCAAACAAACAAACAAACAAAAATCCCCAAACATGACAACAACAACAACAAAATCAACTAATACAATCCCTACATGGGTTAATTATCCCAACGGATACTTTTTTGATAAAATGTCCAACATCTTTAGTTATTGGGGAAATGCAAATTACAACTACACTGAGAGTCTATCTCACTGAACTCAGGATGGCGACCGGTAAAGACACACACACACACACACACACACACACACACACACACACATCACGACACGTCCATGTGGGATAGGCACTCTTGCACATTGTCGTTGGGAACCTTAAGTCAGTATAACCATGAGGAAATACATACATGTTGGTTTTCAAAAAAAAACTAAAAGTAGACTTAGAGTGGACTCAGTCCCTGGGTACACATTCAAGGGCAGCGTACAGCAGAGATGCCCACACACGCATGCTTCCAGAGGGACTGCTCACAAGGATCAAGCTACAGAACCAGCCCAGGGGCTTGGCCACAAACCCTCTCTATAAGGAAAATGTGACAGCGGAGCACTATCAGGGATAAAGAATGCTGAAACTGAGCCATCTGTAGGAAAACGGAAGGAAGCAGGGGTGATTGCATTAGCTGAAATAATCCAGACCCAGACAGCATGATGCACTTTCTCTCAAATGTGGAAGTTGTCCATGTATAGAGCATGTATACATGTATACATGTATAGGGCAGTGCCATAACAGTGGTGGGGGTGGGAGCATCAACCAAAGGGAAACATTAAAATTCCACGTGGAAACCTGCAACTCTGTAAGCTAATATAACAATAAAAATCAAACATCTTTAAAAGAAAGTTCCATATCAAATTCACTATTATACTAACCCAGAAAGTTAACAACAGCAAAATATATATGTGTATTTTTTTCCTTAAAATGAGAAAAAAGATCCTGAAAATTCAGAGGGACTGCTAGGAAAACAAAAACAAAAACAAAGGGGAGGAGATCCAGGAGAGGGGATTGGGATGTGAGGCGGACATGAGTGTGTGTGTTTGGGGGTCCGTGAGGATACGACTACGCAAGGTGTGCGTGCGCGGAGTGTCACGGTGAAGCCTGTTAACGTGAAAGGTGACTGTATTGAGTTCAAGATACACGTGTGAAGTTTCCCTGGGTGCACTAGCAGAGTGAGGCCTCCTGGAGGCCTGGTCTCGGCCCCCTATGCTCAGGCACTCGGTTTCCTTAGCTTGTAAGTGTGCTTGGCACTGCCCTCTGAGAACGAAACAGTGGCTGTGGGGATTTCGGTCACTCCAGAGCAGTGGATTTCAACCTTCCAGATGTTGTGATCCATCAGTATCGTTCCCCTTGTCGTGATGACCCCCAACCAAACAATCATTTCCTTTGCTACACCCTAACTGTAAATTTTGTTCCTGTCGAGAATCATAATGTGGATATTTTTGGAGACAGAAGTTTGCCAAGGGGGCTGCGACCCACAGCTTGAGAAACACTGCTCTACAGAGGGCATTAGTTGTAATCCAGTACTCCATCTCTCCTGGGTGTACTCCATCTTGCTTCTGCGGTGGAGTCAGCTTGGGCAAGCCAGGACCTTCCTATCCCATGGGAGAAAGCAAATCCACATAAGCAGCAGTGCTTCTGAACACTGTGAGGGCACCAGAAAGCCACCGAGGAGAGGGGAAGAGGCTGCACAGGAAGTGAAGAACGCCGGACGCACGTCACAGTCAAAATCACACAGGAGCATAACCGTTACACAGAAACCCTCTGGGTGGCGAGTCAGGGAAGGGGATGCAATGGGTCCCTGTGGCAACACCCACTGTGAGGCAGTGCAAACCACAAGTTAGCTGCAGGCGCTGAGGCTTGGGTCCTCCCTTTTCTCTCATTCCATGAAGCCCCAAATCCAGAAACACACCTGGCATGCATGAGGTCCAGGTTTGGTCTCCAGTGCCAGTTAAATCAGTGCCTGCCTTTAATCCCAGCACTGGGGCGGTCGAGGCAAGAGGATCAAAGTTCAAGGTCAACCTTGGCTATATAAGTGGGTTGGAGGTCTGCCTGGCTACAAGGAGACCCTGTCTTAAAAAGACAAAACAAAGAAACAGAAACAATACAAGGTGTGTGTGCGCACACTTTTTTTAAGGTTGCCATCTCTGAAGCCAGATGCATCTTGGGGCTGAGGTTATAACCGAATCACCCCTGGGAAGAACAAAAAGGTTAGGCGGCTGGCTCAGAAGACCTTAATTCGTATCCATGAGATGGTGCGTGGCTGTCACCTTCGACCACGCTGCGTTTGGGTATGATGGATTGGTCGCCCTGTGAACAGGTCGTCTTTTAACACAGGAAGAGGCCACCGAGCCTTACTTAGGCTAATCTGTGAGGTTAGACCAGAATTGATCATATGTGGTATCAGATGGGGATTTGGAAACCTGGAAAGTCAGAAGGCTTCTCGGGAGTGAAGTGACCGGGCTGTCAGGAGGAGGGAGGGGCCCTTCTCAGTTCCTCCTGGCCAAAGACAAGGGGCTCAGTACACATGACATTCCCAAGTCACAGGGGAGGGAAATGAGAGCAGGATGCTGATGCAGAGGGCCCAGGTAGTTGGCTGGAAATCTAAGTTTACCTGGTGACATTATGTCCTCTGGGAGTTTTCTATAGGGAAAGCTGTTTGAAGGTTCAGGGCGTAAAGTAAATTCTGAAGCTCGGATGAGGTTCCCTGGCTAAGTCCAGCGCATCCACCCTGGAAGCCGTTGTAAGGAACGCTGCCCAGAAGGGTCTATTCGTAAGTAGAGGGAGAAGGCCTTCCAAGCACAAGAACATCGTAGGCAGTGCCTTCTGTCTACGTGGGGAACTGGTAATTTTGTCCAGACAGCACAGGTCTCACATGGCCAGTCAGGGAGTGAGGAGAAACAGTGAGGCCATGGCCCAAGGCCCTGGCACAAGGATGGGGCAGTGGCAGGCCCCACGAGGTGACGTGCCTGTCTCCTTCAGGCAGTGAGAGCTGGCTGGTTTTGAGTACCGACATCATTCGTGTCTCAAAAAATCCCTCTGAGCGCAATATGGATGAGCTGCGGAAGGGAAGACTATGCTCATAACAGTTTTCCAAAGGCTACAATAAAAGCAGTGTACCAAGGGACAAGGACTGGGCAGTCGTGAAAGGCAAGAGGTGAAGAGGACCCAAAGGGAGTCCAACAGGGCAGAGTGACTAACAGCATAGGGTTCTGGAGAAAGAACACTATAGAAACAGAGCCAGCCATTGCAGAGAACGGCTCCACCCTGTCAATTCAAACTGAAGACCGCGTCTCTATTAATGAAGCCAGCTTCCCTGGGTTGTGTGGATAGAAATGAAAGACTTCTAAAAATAAGAACTAGGTTTAACTTACAGATCCTAGGATGAGGTCTAGCAATGGTCACCAATAAAGAAAAACACCCAGTAGAAGAAATAAATCAATCACTTGCGTGCACATGTGATAGTTAAATAAATAAAACAAAATACAGCACTTGGATCTTGGTCCCTGCAAACAAACTGTTTACATCTCATTTCAACTGAGCCTTTACCATGTCACAGGGCTGAGTTGGGTACAAATGTGTCTCTCAGACTCAACCCCGATGGTAGAGGAGGATGACATGCTGCTTCCTACTTTTTTTTTTTTTTTAAGGCAGATTTCCACTGGTCAGTAAGAAATAGCTGAGAAAAAAAAAGTGTTGAGGGGCAAGAAAACAGAGAAATAAGCGGGACAGAAGGCACAGCGGAGGGGAAAGCATTCTGTGGTGCACACACAGCAGTGCATCAACAGCACTAGACCGATTCCGATGACGTTTTTTCCGCCATCGGGAACAAGGCTGAATGGAATCGGCGAGGGCGGGAAGAGTCCCACGCAAGTGCCTCTTGTTAGAGCTAAGTCAGCAGTAGGGCCCGAGAGTTGGTCTTACCATGTTTCAGATGTAGGCAGCTGTCATTCTGGGACCTGTACCTGCAGAAAATTGTGCCTTTAACAAATGTTTATGGAGAGGGTTCTGCACATTCCAAACACGCAGTAGCTACAATGTCACGTGGACCTGCTTGCTTTGCTTTTTACGGTTCTCAGAGCAGCCATTTGTTTGTGCAGTGCTTGTGGTGGCTTTCTAAAGCAAAGCTAAAGGAACTGACGTGGGACCTCACTGACTTCCACAACCCAGTGCAAGGCAAGCCCCGACATTGCGTTGTTCAGCATTAAAAGCCCAAAACATGTGAGAGATTCTCAAGGGGATACAAGGTGGCATGTTTTACCGTCATCTTAAAAGCTACGCGCTTAAGGACTACATAAACAGAGCAGAGGCAGAAGCGAGGAGGACACAGACAACAGTGGAGGGCGAGGGAACCAGCCACACCTCCTAACTATGGCTCCCGGGCACAGGGATGGGAATGGAGTCTTTTACAGGCACCTTCAAATTTACAAGAAAAGTCTTTTGAGACATTAAAGAATTTCAGGAGAGAAGGCTGAGTTAAGGGGGCCACATGTGACGGTCACAGAGACAGGCAGCTTCTAGAAGATGCAGACTAGTTACAAGAGTGTGCGAGAAGCAGAAGCAGCAACAGAGAGCCACGAGGGACCTACCTGAAGCAGACTCCTGTAGCTTCTCTCTCTTCCTCTTCTTCTTCTTGCCCTGGAAGGACAGAGGCACACGTGAGCACAGACAGCAGATGGCTGGCATGCAGCTGTGCGCCGCGCACAGAGCGCAGACAGAAGGCGGCCAGCCAGAGGGACCTGGAGGGTCGCCGCCTCCCCTCAGCCCCCGGGTGTGCAGAGCCTGTGCGTGCACGTGCGGTTCCTGCAACCCTGCATCCTTGGGTACGCCTCTTCTGGACTGCCGTGCTCAGAGCCCAGCTCTGCTGGTGCTCAGGAGGAATCCGGCTGCGAAATGCACTGGATAATATTTTATGTCCGTGGCGTCAACTGAGTGCCCCGGTCCCTGTGGCAGAAGCATGGCGTAACCGAGGAGAAAGGCAGAGGAGAAAGCGGGACCTGGGAAACTGAGGCCTCTGCTTCTCCAGAGACACGTGACACCAACACAGGAGCAGTTCTAAACACATTTCAAAAACATTTCAGTGACAAACTAGGAAAAAAAAAGTTCACATTTTAAGTAACTTAAATTTTTCATTATTCTTCAAAACTAATTTTTTTCTTTTCTTTTTCTTTTCCCTTAAGAATCACTTCACTATGGCTACAGCCACAGTCCACTTCTGTGAATCATGGACGGCTAACCTGTGACAGGTATTTCTGACCACCTAATGGAACACCCTCTGCAGCCGACACCTCCAGAATGAGGGCAGCAAGCAACATCAATAGAATAAGCCTATCACATTTGACTGAATATGATGCCTTGGGCTCTATAAAGGTAAAGATACATTTTCATCCCCCGAAGCAGTTTTTGTCATGTCACATGATTACTGAATGAAGCCTTCCTGTTTCAGAAAGTTGACCAAAGCACTCTTCCTTAAACACTAAGGCCAACACTAGGCCAGGGACCCAGGGAAATGGCTTATCAGAAATAACACCACCTCAATGAGACCAGAGGCATTCTGGGGGAAGGGAGTGGACAGAGAGCGTGCTTCCTGCAGTCGCCACGATCCTTCATTCGGATACTCTTCCTGTGAGGCTGTTTCCTGTTAGGACCTTCCGCACTTTGCTCTCCTGGCTCCCTTTGCATTGGTCCTAACTGACATCTCTTTCAAAAAAAATTTCTCAGGGCTGGAGAGATGGCTCAGTGGTTAAGAGCACTGTCTGCTCTTCCAAAAAACCCGGGTTCAATTCCCAGCATCCACATGGCAGCTCACAACTGTCTGTACCACCAATTCCAAGGGATCTGACATCTTCACACGAATGCACGTAAAATAAAAGTTAAATAAATTATTACAAAAAAAAATTTCTATGTCCTACATCTCATTCCTCTTCCTTAGACGGAACTGGAGCTCTTTCCCCCATGCCCCTGAGCTCGGGGCCATGGCCCATCTAGTCAGCAGCAGGGCCAGGAGCTCTGCATCCAGCCTCTCCCCACACTCTCTGTCAGGCACACAGCCAGCATGTAGTGCCCTGAGCATCACTGCTGCTACTGCCTGTGTGCTAGGTTAGGTATAAATCAGGGAGGTGAGAGAATATACATAGGACTTACGGCAGGCAGAGAGAGAGCAGCTTGGATATATTAATTGACTAATTCATTCTTGACAAAATGTTTTCTGTCAGCATTACACAGACTTTATGATCTTGAGTGATACCCTCACTCAAGAAAATCTATGTACTGTTGATTCACAAAAACTTTATTAACACCAATTATGGAAGTAAATTTCAACTGTAAAATCAATGATGTTGTTGAGCAAGCCATTTTAACTATAAACCCAGATGTACATTTAATGACCTCAGCGGACCAGGAGGCATCCTCCCTGTACATCCTGTTCCTGATGTTATACTCCTGTAAGGAGTACTGTTATCGAGGGTGCCCTCACCTGACCCTGCATTGCCTCAGACATTGATGGGGTTGTTAAAAAATACTATAAACAAGGTGGGGTTTCCCTTCATTCAGGCAAGGTGAGTGCAGAGCAAGTTCCTTTAACAGTCATGGAGAGTAGAGTAAAACCTTTAAAGAAAACCTCACAATCCACCAGCTTTCTTCAAAATTCCTTTCCTTTCACATGTAAGAGGAACAGATGAAATAGAGTGAGATGGAGGAGAAAGGGACACATGCATATATCCTTTTCTTCTTTCTAAATGCTAAAACATCACTTCTAAGACCAGAACTGAAAATTTCAAGGCATTCAGCAAGCACTGCTACGTGTGCACAAACTTAAGAGCTTGGCAAAGCTCTAGCATGGGGTCAGAGGGTAAAGGTCAGCGGTCCCCTCCCAGGCAAGCCACAGCCAAAGGGCATTCAGGGTGGAATGAGAAGAGGACACTGTGCACCCCTCTGGCACAGCAAAGGCTCTGTACACATAGATGGTAATTACTGCTCAGGGAACAGAAGCCAGTAAGACATGGAGCTAATCCTCGGGAGGGAAGCCATGCAGATCCTTAAGTCAAGCCAGAGTGGGTTTAAATTGCAGTGTAACTACCTACCACACAGCTGGGGACAAATTGCCTAACCTCTCAGACCTGACACTCCCCGAGCGGTAGGAATGATGCCCCTGTCATTGGACAGTTGTAAGGATTGGAAAGTAACAGAAAGAATGGATGGAAGGCACTCCCTACAATCAGCATATGGTAGTTACTAAATCAGCCAAAACAGCAGCTTGAGTGTCTGTGCTAGTGCTTCCAAGTAGCTGCCCACAGGACTCTAATTGCCTGTGTCAAAGTCCTTTCTGCTGCAGTTCCAAATGCTGAGCAGTGAAGTGGCATTTTCGGTGAGGCATATTATAGAGGGGGAAAATGTCCAGCCTGTTCCCAGAAAGACACGTATGTGCTTAAATGCTGTACTGTCTATTATGGACATGTGACTTTAGGCTCACATTGTTGTCATTGTCTCTATGCGAACCAATGCTTCCATAGCAAAGACCATCTTCAAACTGGACACTGAGTCATTGTTTCACACATGCTGTTGAAGGGACAATCCCTCCAAATCAAGGCTGGCCTGAATGGCATTCTTTCTGCTGGTCTCCTGATATAGACTAAAGTGTCCCCCTCAAACTCCTGCACTGAAATCTTAACACTTCTGCCACCTCCAGAGCGCTGGAGTAAGATGGAGCTCTTGGGAGGTGCCTACTGGCGACTATGAATCGGACTTTTCCTTGGGGAAAGGGCAGCTGGTGAGGGCACAGCCAAATGCTTGAGAGTGGCTCTCAGACACCCAACCTATTGATGCCTTTGGCCTCAGATGGCTCAGCCTCCAGAACAGTGGGCAATACAATTTTCGCTTTTGTAAGCTACCTGGCTATGGTATTCTGTTGTAGCTGTCTGAGCTAACAATAATTTTTCAAGATATTCTGTTAAAAAATCTAAACAATCAAAATTTTTATTTTACATACAATGACAGACTTCCAAATATACCATTCATAATATATGTTCTATGCAAGAGTCTAAGCTTACCATATCAGTCAAGACAATGTCAGTAAGATGTTCAAACTCTGAGCAGTAAGAGAGCTGGCAGTATAAGTTCTCTTGACAATGAAACTAGTATATCCTAGAACATGATAATCCCTACTCTGTTTTTATTCAAAGTACATAGAAGATAGGTATATTATTATGAGATTAAAAAAAAAACCTATGTAGTTCTAATCCTCTGTCAAGACAGTCACCAAAATGTGGTGTAAGATTTCTAAAGCAATCATCACCTGTAAAGCAATCTGACAAAATGTATCAAGAACTTCAAAATGTTTTATCCTCTTAACTCAACATGCTGCTACTATGACTCTATCCTGCAGAAATAATGGTCCTGTGTACAGGAAAAACATCCTATTATGCACAGACATAACCACAGCAGACTGGATTATGGGTCTCTGAAAGGGGAAAAGGAAAACTCAAAAATCTAAAATCAAGAAAAGCCAGAAAACTGGGACATTCACTTAACAGAATATGGATATAAACACTATTTCAGAAAAGAAAATGCATTTTTAGAAAAGAATAGACAACATGCCATAAAGCATGTATGTACACACACTTGTATTTTACCAGCA